CATAATGGAAACCCAACACGTCGACTGAAGCACTTGCACAGGAACGTGAAGACTTCATCGAAGTCGTAGTCCTTGCGAAGTTGACGGGCCCAAATGACTGTCGGTTGCGCTGGGGCGGATGGCGCCGAGGTAGTGCCTGCAGAGCAGGCTCTGGCCAATCAACTCCCACAACGGCTGAGCAACTCGAATCTTGGACAGCTCTCTGCTCGCCCTTTCTCGGCTCTCCCAGCTCGCCCCCACACCGCGCCAGCTAGAGGTGATCTGGTGATGCATGGGCGTGAACGAAATTAAAATATGAAAAAAGTTGTGACATTCCCTGTGGTCAGCTCCCGTACTCCCTCGTGCGTTGCCCGGCCTGGTTTGGGAGGTGCGGAAGGCTTTCGACCATATTTCATGAACAACTTCGTAGTCCGAGGTCTCCAGCCTCCAATCCCATCTGGAATTTGCGAGGCTTTCAAAATTGCTGCTGTATCCATCCCATTCCGATGCTTGAATGTCCCAATCAGCTTCTCGGTTTCAGCTTTCGTCCATCTGTAGGCTCCATGTCTTGTGTCTTGTAGTTCTGCGACGAAGGTCGTGTCGCCATTGAGTCCGGCGATGGACTCTGCAGCTTTCTCATCCTTCATCGTGAAGAGGACTTGGTGTCCATGTTCACTCGCACCTCGTGCAAGTGCTGTGAGGATATCTTTCTCTGCACCAGCAGGGACGCCACCGTCCAACACGTTGTCAAAAACCAGACGGAGTTTGATGCTCTTCTGCTCTAAGCCGAGAAAGAAACTGCTCGCGATGGCAGCTGCCGAGCTAACTTCGGCAATGCGGAAAAAGAGTCGCAGGGCGTCAGACAGATCGTTCTGCAACACCACGAAGAAGTCTGTCGTTCTGTTGGCCACTTCAGTGGCTGCAAGCAAGGTGGCGACCGACTTGCCCGTGCCTGCTTCGGCGTAAATGGCTGTCATGCCCGGTGTTTTCTCGCGCAACACCGCAAGCATGAGCTTTTCAAGGTGCGTTTTTCTCACTGGATCACTTGGCAATCGCGCTGTTTGGGCATCCGATACAATGATGTTGCTGCGATTTTGAATGTTCTTTTCCAACATCTGCACAAGGCTTGATGCATGCTTGGAAATATTGTCACCGATCTTGTACATTGCACCTGTGCCTGTCTGCAGACCTGTCCATTGCTGCCAAGCTTCGCCAGCAGCATTGAGCGAGTTGAAAAAATCTGTCGCTTTTTGAAGCTGTCCAGCCATGCCCAGCAGGCCACTGAGCGCACCTTGAAGCGGGGCTTCAGTTGCCGGGTCTCGAAACATGTCCTCGAGACCGGCACGCCTCCGCAAACGTGCCTCTGCAGCCCTGGGTACGGTGAAATTTGGGTAACGGTTTCTCACGTGGCACGCGATCAGGAGCACAGCAACCATCGCTCGTTTCCACTTCCGCCTCATGAGAAACAAATCCGATGTTGCATGTTCTTGATGCTTGCGAACGTGTGTATGCGTGTGGATGACTGCCACAGTTCGGTCCATCAACGCGGCGGTGAAGACAATCCATGCACTGGGAGTGAAATATATATGAATACAGCAAGACAACGTCACAGAAGTGCAGAACACAACTGTGCAAAACAACAAAAGCAAAAACATGTTTGGTTGAATCGCCGTTGGACATGTCACTACGTGTCACTACGGCCGCTTTTTGCAGCAATGTCACTATGACGTCACTACAACGCCACTGCAACTTATTCAAAAAGCACTACAGTGTCACTACGGCCACTTTTGCAGCATGGTCACTACAACGTCACTACGACGTCACTACAACGTCACTACAACGTTTACGGCAAAACTCCAGATATAACATAGAAAACGTTGAATAATTCATCCAATAGCTTCGTGTTGATCCAAGAATGACTTGATATTAAGCAAAAATGCCGCAATAATGTCTCAATCCTGGTGAGAATGATACCGCAAAGATTGTAGTCTTCGCCAAAAAGATTCAGCAAAGACTGAGTCTTCACCAAAACGATTTTGCAAAAGACCACTAATAGAAGATTCAGCAAAAATCAGTCTTTCACCAGCTCTCTACAGCAGTGGAATGCTGTGTTTGCGATTTGCCGTTATTCGCAGCGATTCCCACGCTCACAACGTGGTCACTACACGGTCACTACGCGTCTCCTTCAGTTTCACCACCGTCATGAGGCCCAGTTCTGTTCTGATAGCCTTTTCTTTGTTCGAAGCTGGAATTGCGAGAGCTTGATACCCGTTCGTTGCCGGAAGCCAAACCCAAAAGCACAGCACGACCATCACAAGGTCAACTGCAACGCCAAGGCGTTATTGTTCGACTCGTCGACCCACCATGGCATCAAATGGACGGCTCTGCGCGCAAACCTTTCCGTGAACCTGCCGTGACGTGCCCTGTTTTTCACAAACTTGCATGTTGTTCTTCCGTCCCACCTAAACTCAATTCTGAGCCTTCTTAAAATGCTGCATTTCTCACATCGTTATGCAAATCAAATGCACCGCAATCTAAACAGCTCTCGGACACGAGATCAAGTATGAATCACATGGAACTGTGACAGGACGAAGCATACAGGTGTGCTGAAAACATCGAGGAAGTCGCAACTTGAACGTCAGATATGCTTGTCGATGCAAGGACATAGCCTTCTTCCTACAGAATCGATTCGAGGTCTATTGCTAACTTTGTGGAACTATGTGGCATCAGTGCGCGCCTTTCATTGCTGAGGCTGCACCCTGCTACACCTGAAAGTGAAGACCGTTCACCATCTGCTGCCCGTTCGAAGCACATCACTTGTAAACATAACCACATACAAGATTTGCCCCGTGCACGTCGCAAGGCTTGCCGATTGAAACCCAGAGCCCGCACAGCAATCACATCGCCGAAGCGCCTTCAGGGCCTTTATTTCGTGCCACAAGCCTGCACTCGCGAACTGCGGAGAGGTGCAGAAAGCAGAGCCCCAGAACCAGTCCGAAATGCTCGAAAACCGCCCCCAACCGCTGTGGCTTGACCGGGGGCAACGCCTGCCGGCCACCCCTGTTAAACCCAGTAGACCGCTCAAAGAAACCCGCCCACGATTGGGTGGGCGCAGCGACGACGCACTCGGACGCTCGATGACGCACTTGGCTGAACTGCGACAACGGTGACGGCGGCGCTCTCTCTGGGGAGGGTGTTGTCAGATGGCTTCAAGCCTTGTTTCAAGACATAGGTCAGAATTCGGTGCAACAGCACACAAGCAGCTCTTGTGCTGCCGGTCCAAGACGGTGCCCACAAGTGCTGCGGGTGCAACAGCTCAAGAGCTACCAGTCAAACAGCCCACAAGTGCTGCCGGTGCAACAGTACACGAGCTGCCGGTCCAACCCACAAGTGCTGCCGGTGCAACAGCTCAAGAGCTTCCAGTCCAGCCCACAAGTGCTGCCGCTGCCGGTCCAACAGCACCTCAGCAGCTCAAGAGCTGCCGGTCCAACAGCTCACAAGCTGCCGGTGCTGCAGCCCAAGAGCTGCAGCACACAAGGTCCAACAGCACACAAGCTGCGGCCCAACAGCTTCGGAGCTCCGTCCAACAGACTCGCGCGCGCAAGCGCCGCTTCCAAACAGCTCAGGAGTGCGGCGCAGCACTCCAAATGGCTCGTGAGCTCCGCGCGGGTTCTCAGGGTAGCTTTGACGCGGGCGTTTTGCAAGCACTTTGGAGCCCCTACGATTGCAGGCCCGACGGCTCCATCACAGAGTGGGAGTTGACAAACGTATCTTGACACGAAATTCCTGAGCATCCGANNCTTGATCAAAGAGGTCGTTTTTCGGTGAAATGTATCGCGATTTTCCTGCCTGAAGAACAACACTTCCTCTTCCATAGCACGCGAAGACGTCGTTTTCGACAAACAAATCGCGATTTCGACCCTGAAGAACTCCTTTCAACTTGACGGCATTTTGCAGGAGAGCTCGAAGAGGCCATTTTTGGTGAAACGTTTCGCAAAAATTCAGATTATTTTGCGGTTGGAAAGAGTTACCATAAGTGGCCCCTTAACTAAATATGTGTGGCGCGGCCAGCCCTCGCAGTACCATCTTGTTTCGTCGAGCATACTCCCAGAAGGTGTGTCTGATTGTCTAAGCAAACAGCTGGGTGCTGCGGTCTCGGTGGATTGGTGCTGGTCCGAGACAGTCAGCATGCACATGGTGTCTCCTTCACACCTTTTCGGCACAAAGGTTACTCAAGCCAGTCAGGCAAAAGCGCTGACCTTTGAAAGCTCTCTGCAGCAGACTGGGGCAGGTGCAAGAGCACAAACAAGATGGCAGAAGCTGCAAAGAGGCCAAAGAGTCGCCTTCGCCTGAAGATGCAACCTGACGGCACCACTCCATCGAGAATGCAGCAGATGCTGCGCGAAGCTTGTTTTCTCTTCGACGCCAGCTTTGATGCTACACTTTTTGTGCTGCGGACGCTTGCCTGATGCGCAAGGTCTTTGAACGAGCGCCATTCTGCGCGAGTCTTGCACTCAAGGTCCTACGGGGTGCAGGCGCAGCGCGCACGCAGCCCTTTAGCCACGGATGAGAGAGCAAGCAAGGGCTTCCGGCTTTTTGACAGGGTGATGAAGCACTCGATCTGAGATGGGCTCGTGGCTAGCTCGGGATCGGAAGCCGGCCTTTTGACGAGACATTTTTCGACATGCCGTCGGGCAACCGACCGAAGCCAGGAGGACCTAGCATTTCACGGAGAGCACCTAAGTTCGCAATGCGGGTAAAGCGATGCTCCGTGTGGAGACCTCGGCATCTTCAGTGCATTGCTCTGGTGTGGCAGTGCCTCACTTTGCGCAAGCAGCCGCCTTTGGGTTTCCTGTAGCCTTCCGGGGCGTGTCGTGATGCCGCCTGTTGCCGTGACGGCTGCCCAGCCTTCGGTGGCAATGCGGAGGGGTCGGGGAGACGGCAGCTAGCTGCCATTGGCCGCCTACTTGAGCACCCGCTTCTTCAGATAGCAGTGATACTGCGGTTTGGAAACTTGTGAATTTCGGCGAGTCCTGCAGGGTCCACTGCCATATCGAGAATGCCAGGTCCAGACTACATTTTTCTCGCAAGTGGTGTAGCCCCAACAGCCGGCGACACCCAACAAAAGAAGAGGCATAGACCCGGGAGACGCTTGTGCCTAGACTGTCCGGTGACCTCGAGACATGGAAACGCAGAAACTCACGTCACCTCCGAAGGTGTGCGGAGGCTGTGCTTCTCGGAACATGCTTACTGAGCCCATCTTGTCCACAGATGATTTGGAGCATTTTGGATCACTTCCAAGTCGAAATGGTTCTCATTTATTTGCCTTGATGCCCTGACATGACTGCTGGCCGGCTGCCGATCGGCACACCGACAGTTCGGTTTCGTGCGAGCAAGCATCTGACAGTCACCTGACAGAGGGGTCTGTGTCTGCTTGTGCCCAACCACCTTCCGCTGCGGGCACTATGTGGATCTCTGCACTGCAATCCCGCATCGTCCTGTCGCAGGAACGAAGTGGACAGCTTCCTGAGAAGTCGCAACTTCCGATGCATGTGTTTGCAACTTCCGGCAGGGATGTGCCTGAGGTCCTACAAATCATCCACACGCAACTCTTTGTGAAGACACCGCACATGACGTGTTCCAGAAGTTTGCCGCAGACCCCAGCGCGCCTGCCGCAGGCTCGGGGTTGGACAAGACAAGTCGTGACGAACATCATCTGCTCACCCGGGCGGCTGTCCGTTCAGGGCCCCCCGGAACACTACGTGCTGTGTAACATTTGGAATGTCCAAGGACCCACGACTCACAGGGCAACTGCAACCGAACCAGCCACGTTTTTCCAAGCCAGCAAATCCGGCTGCCAGGCACGTGCGAAAACCCGAGTTCGCAATTGAAGCAGCGCATGTCGTCATAAATCATAAGCTGCGCTTGCCGAAGTCTCGAAACTTGAGAAAGCGGCCAACCTTTTTCTTTTTTTCTCCTTCAGGGGGCAAGTGTGGTGTTTGAGCCCACGCGAAACTAACTGGCAGCGTAGGAAGGAAGTATCCTAAGCACGGTTTGAATTTGTTGAGCACTCTGGACCGCGCCTCCTGCAGGTGGTTGACAAACCATGGCAAGCACTAAACTATAGATTTTTCCTGCAGCATCGGACCATCTCTGAATCGAGGCTTCCCAAAGGTCTATGTGCCGTTGATGGAGGGCGTCCCCGAATGTGTCCTCAGTGCAGGTGGAACCTAGCTGCAATTGGCCGCTTGCTTGCGCGCTGAGCTTTGCTGGTGATGAGCTCGTTGGGGCCGTTTGATGGTGTGGGTGCCAGTTTCTCCTTGCGAGCAGAGACATGTTCGGTTGGATCACCTGATGTCTAGTGCAGTTCAAGTTTGCTTGCAGTTTGCCGTGATACGGCCTCGTGGAAACCTCGGCAAGCAAGGCTGAGGAGTGC